ACACAAAACCGTGAACCGATACAGCAATCCCCTTCGCCCTCTCGACCACGACTTGTCGCATGCAAACCGCTCGGGTTCCACCCCGTGCGTTACCCCCCCCCCTCGCTGTCGTCGCGAACAAATATGTGGGCGTCTTTGACCTCCTTCGGCGATTTAAAACGCACGCAAGAGTTTGAACACATTTGAAGGGGTACATTTTTCAGACGTTCTGAACAATCACAGAGACCTGCGAGACGCAGACGCGCACACACAAAGATCCCCCGGTGTTGAGCCTTAACAGACTGTTGGGGCAAGTGCTGTTAGCGAGCACCTATGAAGGCTGGCACGGCACACGAGGCAATGGGTGGCCAACACCACGCCCGGCCGCCTTTGTCTCCCCAGTGGCGATGTTTACTACAGTGAGGGAAAAAAATATTTGATCCCCTGCTGATTTTGTACGTTTGCCCACTGACAAATAAATGATCAGTCTATAATTTTAATGGTAGGTTTATTTGAACAGTGAGAAACAGAATAACAACACAAAAATCCGGAAAAACGCATGCCAAAAATTGATTTGCATTTTAATGAGGGAAATAAGTATTTGACCCCCTCTCAATCAGGAAGATTTCTGGCTCCCAGGTGTCTTTTATACAGGTAACGAGCTGAGATTAGGAGCACACTCTTAAAGGGATGCTCCTAATCTCAGCTTGTTACCTGTATAAAAGACACCTGTCCACAGAAGCAATCAATCAGATTCCAAACTCTCCACCATGGCCAAGACCAAAGAGCTCTCAAAGGATGTCTGGGACAAGATTGTAGACCTACACAAGGCTGGAATGGGCTACAAGACCATTGCCAAGCAGCTTGGTGAGAAGGTGACAACAAAAGAACTGTCAATCTCCCTCGGCCTGGGGCTCCATGCAAGATCTCACCTCGTGGAGTTGCAATGATCATGAGAACGGTGAGGAATCAGCCCAGAACTACACGGGAGGATCTTGTCAATGATCTCAAGGCAGCTGGGACCATAGTCACCAAGAAAACAATTGGTAACACACTACGCCGTGAAGGACTGAAATCCAACAGCGCCCGCAGGGTCCCCCTGCTCAAGAAAGCACATATACATGCCTGTCTGAAGTTTGCCAATGAACATCTGAATGATTCAGAGGACAACTGGGTGAAAGTGTTGTGGTCAGATGAGACCAAAATGGAGCTCTTTGGCATCAACTCAACTCGCCGTGTTTGGAGGAGGAGGAATGCTGCCTATGACCCCAAGAACACCATCCCCACCGTCAAACATGGAGGTGGAAACATTATGCCTTGGGGGTGTTTTTCTGCTAAGGGGACAGGACAACTTCACCGCATCAAAGGGACGATGGACGGAGCCATGTACCGTCAAATCTTGAGTGAGAACCTCCTTCCCTCAGCCAGGGCATTGAAAATGGGTCGTGGATGGGTATTCCAGCATGACAATGACCCAAAACACACGGCCAAGGCAACAAAGGAGTGGCTCAAGATGAAGTACATTAAGGTCCTGGAGTGGCCTAGCCAGTCTCCAGACGTTAATCCCATAGAAAAATCTGTGGAGGGAGCTGAAGGTTCGAGTTGCCAAACGTCAGCCTCGAAACCTTAATGACTTGGAGAAGATCTGCAAAGAGGAGTGGGACAAAATCCCTCCTGAGATGTGTGCAAACCTGGTGGCCAACTACAAGAAACGTCTGAGCTCTGTGATTGCCAACAAGGGTTTTGCCACCAATTACTGTCATGTTTTGCAGATGGGTCAAATACTTATTTCCCTCATTAAAATGCAAATCAATTTGTAACATTTTGACATGCGTATTTCTGAATTTTTGTTGTTATTCTGTCCCTCACTGTTCAAATAAACCTACCATTAAAATTATGGACTGATCATTTCTTTGTCAGTGGGCAAACGTACAAAATCAGCAGGGGATCAAATACTTTTTTTCCCTCACTGTACACACCGTACCAGGTACTCATCTGAGGCTGAGTCGACCTCGGGCAGGCCCAGGACCAGTTCAAATAATCGTCACCGGTGTTGACCGTGAGCGGGAATCGAACTCGGGTCGCCGGATTCATAGCGCAGCGCGCTAACCACTCCACTACAGCTGCCCCCCCCCTCTCACACACACACACACACGGACACGTGGCGACATCTTCACGCCTCCTCTAACGGTTGGCACTCGTTCTGCCAGCTAACGCCATCCGCTGGCATTGCTGGTTGGCACAAAAGCTCGACGATTTGTTTTCTCTCCACCCCCCCACCCCGCTGGCCCGCATCACTTCCGTCGGTCTGACAGGGACTCTGCCGAAACAGGTCTCAATCGCCAAGCGGGGGTTGACGTGGGGGTGGGGGGGGATTTCGGGGGCCAGGCTTGGGACACCAAAATATCATTGACGGGGTTCTAACCTGGCAAAGGGCCCAACGCCGGCTGCCGCCTCATGGCAAAGCAGCCAGTGAACAACCACTCGCCGTGACACACAAGACAAAGGTCCCACCGTGTGGCCTTGACAGACTGTTGGGGCAAGTGCTGTTAGCGAGCACCTACGAAGGCCGGCACGGCACTCTAAGGGGGTGGGTGGCCAGCACCACGCCCGGCCGCCTTCGTCTCCCGAGTGGCGATGTTTACACACCGCACCAGGTACTCATTTGAGGCTGAGTCGACCTAGGGGATGCCCACGACCGGTTCAGATAATCGTCCCCGGTGTTGGCCATGAGCGGGAATCGAACCCGGACGGCCGGGTTCGTAGCGCAGCGTAGCGGCTAACCGCTGCACTACCGTGACGTAACGCGCACGCACACGGACGCACGGATGTTTGGCCACCAATTTTTTGGCCGCGAGGCATGCGACCGCTGTCCGTGACGGCCAGCGAATGTCCACCGATGCAATGGCTGTGGACACCAGACGGGGGATGGTCACACAAATCGTGGCCGCGGATAATAATGAGCGATGGCCCTCCGGTCGCCCTCGAGAGGGCTCCTGGCGGATTTGCAGCCGAGCGCGGTTCAGCGAGAGCGGTGCGGAGAGAGACGGCGCCGAACCACCAACCCCGGTGGCCCGGGCCTGCCCCCACCCCGTCAGTGCTCTCGGCTCCCCCCCTGGACAGACGGGAGTCGCATCACCAACCCCGACTGCTGCTCGCAGATGAATCTCCACGAGCCGCCGCCATCCGGCAGACACCCGCGGGTGTTCCGAAACAAAAACGGATCAAATTGGCGATGTGCGAGGAGGGAACGGACGGCGAGCCACGTTGGGTTTTCTTGATTCGCACTCGGATCCCGTTAGGCTGAGTGGTCTGGAGGGGTGGGGGGGGGTGTTAACATTTGAGGCGGACTGGTCTCCAGCGTGCTGCTTCGGATGGCCTCAGCAAATAAACCAATAAAACAATAATTGTACGCGTAAGACATAGGTCCGTTAGGAAACTGTGGGCCGCGTGAGAATGCAGGGACGGTCGATTTTGTTGCGGCTCCGGCAATAAAGAAACGAAAACACTCCCCGCCGATGTGTCGAAGTAAAAATAAATAAATGTGGGGTGTGACTTGCAGAAGCACCAACATTTGACACCTGACGATCGGGAACACGTGCGCACAGCTTCCTTACAAACAGCGCGAGGGATAATAACGCAGTGGGTGACTTCGTGACGAAATCTGAGTTTAACACTTTCACGGAAGCTCGAAAAGAAATGAAAGAGTCCCCGCGTGCGAATGCGCATTTGGTGGCACTCATCCGTTTACTGCAGGAAATTCCACGTTCTCAGGGCAGGATAACTGAAGCGTGTTCATGCACCGCAATAACAAAAAAAAAACAAAGTGTAGGATTGCAATGTGCAACGTGCTCTTGCATTCGCAAGTGCGACCTGTTCTGCCGGGGGAGCACAGCCGACATTCAACCGCAGTTCCCCCAGTGCCCTGCGGGCCGCTGGGGGTTCTGGGGCAGCGCCCGCGCGGTGCGTGGGGTCGGGCGACGCCACGCGGGACCGAGCGGCACGCTGCGCCGCTCTCCCTCGCGCGGGTGGCCGCTCGACACGTTCGGCGACATGGGGACTCACTTTGAACGCCCTTCGAGATTTCCGACATCAACAACCGAATGCGCTGACCGTGGCCTCACCGTCGGCAGCCCGCGCCCGCCTTCAACCCAGCGGCGGGTCGATTGGGGCCCGATGGCAATGATTACGGCACGTGCCGAGAGGCACGGCTGCTGCCTCGAAATAACTTGGGTCCCCCGGAGCGGACGCACGTTCCAACTTCGAGATACGTCACGGAGAGACTACGTCGGCAGCGGTGTGAGAAAACGAGGCGGTATAAATCACGTGGGCCATCTTGAAAACAAATCCTGGCAGACTGCCATACCCCTGGCAGCGAGAACAGCACGAGATAACAGACGGGGAGGTAAGGCCCTCCCTCCGCTCAGTAGCAAAGCACTGACGGCCCCCTCCTGTGCGAGAATTGGCACGTGAACAGTGACGGAAACGGAGACTGCATTGTGGCCGCAGCGCTTTTGAAAACTCGCCCCCCCCCCCCACATCCCCGCCCCCACCGCCCCCCTCCCCGCTTTTTAAACACGGCTTGCTTACGCGTTCCCGAGGCCATGCGTCAAAAAGCCTTGCCCGGCACCGGGTCTCGTCGGAGTGGTGCCGAGCGCGTAGTGACCGTGGGGCTCCTCCCGGGAAGTTTTACGGGTTCATTCGCAGCAGCGGCAGCAGCAGCAGCAACAACAACGAAATTTGGCACAATAACCTCCCCATCATTTTGCGTTCCCCAACGACACGCAGCCGTGGGCGGGCGACGCTCGCGCGTGGGACGCCGCGTCCTCCGAGGGCTCCAAAATAATCAAATTGTACCGATGATACAAAACGCAAAGCGGGATCGGCACTGGTATCGGTCGTCCTCCCCATTACGCAAAAATGCAAAGACCATGACGTATAAAATAATATAGGGTTTTTTCTTAAAGTAATTAATAACATCACGTAAAACTGATATAAATCCTTTTCAAGTAAAAAAATTGTTTTTTTTACAGCTGTAAAATAACACATCGTCATCCCTTGCGGTTTTTACGTGTATTTTTTTTTTTTATCACAGTGCAGAGACGTGTCTCCATGAGAACCTAAGGGCGGAGGAGACCCACCGGCTGGGCCCGCGTGCTTGGAGCACACGCGACACTCCGATGGTCTCGGGAACCAACATCGTGAACTGGAACCTCGACCGATCGCCAAAGCGCTTTCCTCTTCCACCACGCCACGTTTACTCCTCACATTTTTTTTGGTTCAAAATAAATAAACCTCGACTGCTTGCCAAATCAAAACGATCCGGCGTATCGATAATATTCGATTCGGCAAAGAATGAGCGTTGTGCTACTGCTGGACCGCGTAGACGTCGCCATCGGCGTCCTAAAGATCTGCCCGTGTGTGGCCTTGTCGAGGCATTGGCGGCCGCTCACCCATCGCAGCCACGCAGCTCCGGTTGACCCGCGCAGTCCGCCGCAAACTCGAGAACCAGTTCACCGCAGACGGCGGCGGCGGCGGGCGATGAAGAGCCTCCAACCTGCGGCTGTCGCTCCACGGTGGATCGCAACGTGCCGCGTGCCATCACCGCTCTCTCCCTCTTCGCGTCGCCCTCCTCGCGACGGGAAGGACCGCCCGGGGGCCGACCCGGCCGCCCGCCGCAAGCTCGCTCTCTTCTTCGCTCGGCCGCCGTGATTTCATTTTTTTTTTTTAATCGGAGCCAAATCCATCGACAGCAACAGCAATTTTACTGAAACCGCCGCCGTTAAGGAGAAACAAACTCAAACGTCCTCTCCCCCGCTCCTCGCGAGGTTGTGCGGCAGCCACCAGCGCCACAATGAGAAAGAGGATTCGGAAGCGATTTCTCTCCGCCGAACAAGGAGACTTTGGCGACGTTCACAGATTTTTTTGGGAAAGCTGCCACCGGCGTTTGCTCGGTTTTGTTTTTTCCTCTCTTATTCTTCTTTTTTTCCCCGCAAGAGTTTCAAAGTTTCAAAATCTTAAATTGGAAGCTTTTCCCGTGCGTTGCGTTTGAGACGTCTTGCTCGCTCCGTGCCAAAGGTTTGGCCCACCCTTTAAAAAAATTCCTCATTCTTCATCAGGCACTTGTGCGGCTGCCTGTGGACACCAGGTTGGGTCCGCAGAGAGGAGAGAAAAATAATTCCGACCAGGAGTATGGCGGCGAACGGCGATTATGGCCGGTGGAACCTGCACGAAAGAAAGACAGTTTAGTGACCGAACGATCGCCGACAGATACAAACAAACCCCCTTTAAAACAACAAAAAAACCCATCACATCAGCAGAGGTGTGGTGAGCTTTGCACTTATATAAACTCGCTTAATCTGTAGCCATCACTGATGAATGAATACACATTCAGAAACACACACATTCAATCATGCATTCAACTGTTGCTAACTTGAACACGATGCGTGGATACAGTCAATGCATACGCAGTTAAACGAATTGCACGTGTGCACCCACAACGTTCCACTCGGCGAAGCAAACGGCCGTGAAGTGAACTCCGCCACACACCTCAGCGATCACGCGAATACAATCACAATCTGACCCCGGGCCACTTGCACAGTGCAGGATTCATGTCTCAAAACTCTTGCTCTCCGCGTTCAGGGAACTGCCTTGCCAGGGCTCCACTTCTCACCTTGCTATTCTCCAAAACGTTTCTACATATTAACGGCATAAGGCACTACCACTAGAGTACATGGTACCCCCTATCCATAATAACCCTATATTACTGTGCCCTATAGTCGTACAATCCTATTAACGTGCTGTTAAACAAGGTACCGCCTATCCATAATAACCCTATATTATTGTGCCCTATATTCCTATACTACTATTAACTGTCCTTAAAAATAATAAGGTAAAGTAAGGCGAGATGGATGTGTGGGGTGGGGGAGCACCGCGTCACCCCCGGCGAACACCGCGTCACCCCCGGCCAAAGACGCGCACCGGTCAACGATGCCACGGCAGATGTGCGTTGTGGATGGAGCGATTCTCAGAGGATCTAATCAAGTCGGAGCCAGCGGTGACTTTCAGGGTTCGCTTTCAAACCAATCTCACGTCACTTGACGTGACAAGTCAACTACATTGGGGCCCTGTCCATCCGTAAACATCCTCATTGGCAAATCAGCACCATACTTTGGCTGATTCGTTGACCCCATTGTCAAGGCCAAGACACCTCAGGCGGCCTCCTAATTGCTTTTTAACTATCCCAAAAAACAAGACTTGAAAGCGATGACAAAGCCTTTGCCGTTGCAGCACCAAAGTTTTGGAAGGACCTTGCGGCCTCTCTTGACATCGTTAGTCTTCCTTTGAAAAATATCCCGAAGCAGAGTATTGGTGCCGGATACAACTGGATTTGCCAATGTGATTTGCAGCTTTGATCCTTACCCCGCGTATTATCGATAGTTTAATTTTAACGTGCAATATCATTGAGGGGCAACTGTGTGTTGCCCTGCTGTGGGCTGGGACTGTTCTTGCTTCATATATTTTATTTATATTATTTTTGTGATTTTATAACCTTCCCTTTCCTATACTTCGCACTTCATAGCTCATTGGATTTCTCCGGGACGAAAACAGATTCTGAATCTGATTTCAGACTGCCGGAGGAATTCGAGGTTGAATATCGAGTCAAAGTCCCAGCAGTTATCGCTCTTAACTCTCTGAAGAGGCGTGCGGGTTAACCTGTCAACCTCGGCTGCATGCAGTTGTGTTGCAGTCGTCAAATAATGCACAACAGTTCACGTTAAATATCAGAATAGCACCACGCCCGGCCGCCTTTGTCTCCCGAGTGGCAATGTTTACACACCGCACCAGGTACTCATTTGAGGCCGAGTCGACCTAGAGGAGGCCCAGGACCGGTTCTGATAATCATCACCGATGTTGGCCGTGAGCGAAACTCGGGCAGCCGGGTTCGTAGCGCAGCGCGCCTAAACCGCTGGCCCGCCGCTCCATTCACGCGCACGCTGTGGAGGGGATGGACGCGCGGCTTTACCGTGTGAGATGCTTGCTGTGCTCGTGGACTTCCATCTCCCTGCTCTTGTATTCGTTCAGCTCCTTCCGTATTGCTGCCTGCAAGTGCAAGAGTCAAGCAATCGTTAAAACCAGGAAGAAGAATCACGCCCGTGCGTGGATTCCGCTGAAGCTTCCCGACGCGCACTTGCCCGAGGAAGTACAGTCGACTCTAGATTTAATCCGTGCTAATGACGGGGAGAGGATGGCCTCGAATGATTCAAAATCACGGATAATCCAAAAATATCCATTTTCCGCGGATCTCTCCGCCAAAAACTAACGGTCAACCGATCGATGCTCGTTGCCCGGTGATAATAACAACACTTTCCTGCTCCCGCAACAGAAGACTCGGCCCACTAAGTGGATGATAGCAGAGAGCCACGCCAATCAACATCAATCAAACTTCAGAGAGACAGACGGACAAAGCTGGCAAATGAATATTTTCCACCTCGGTTAAAAACAGAAGTGGATCATTGCCGTATGCACGTTGAACTTCTTTCGCACACCGTACGTAGCCAACCGTGCTAACTGGAGGTGCGGGAGAATGACAACAAACTAAACACAAAAAGCAGCTGTAACGAAATTAGTTTTCAAATTTGTATCATTTAAAAGTGCATAGCTCCAGTGGCTTCCTAAAATCGGAAGGACATATTTCTTAGTTGTAACTCGATAGCTACTAACAGGTAACTATTCGTACGCCCATTCAACCGACATTTTACAGGGGACATTTTACAGGGAACATTTTCAATATGTAATTCTTATCGGGCTCCATGATGTAAACAAGTTGCAGTCTCAACATCTTATCGTTATTCAGTCTCTCTGGCCTATGTGCTATGAAGTCGAGTCAATTGCCCAAAATATCACCTGTTACGTACTTTTCCATTCAGGCCACTGTGCTCTTGGCAAATGTTTTGTGTTTTTTTGTTGGTTTAACACGTAATAGGGCTTTCGCGACCAATAATATCCATAATAGAGGTTTTTTTTGGGTTAGATTACGTAAATATAAATGTGGCATTAAACCCTCCGCCACCTGACACAGCCAATTAGTAAAGTCTGTCACGCAAACAGAACACGCAATTTGTCGTTGTTATTTTTGCTTGTGCGCCCGCTGCCAATGCAGAATCATCACTATGGCATTTCGTTTCTCTTCTCGGCTAATCGAGGTGAAATCCACATCACTGGGCCTCGGACTCGGCGCGTAGTGCCCACTGCCAGGTGCACCGCAGGGACGCCCATCTTGCCACTGAAGGTGGCCCAACGACTCCGACCAGAGGGCAGGAATCAAAAGGCAACATCTCCCAGGCCACGGATCTCTGTCGCTGTCACTTAGTTCTTTGCTGGAATGTCAGCTGATGATAATAATAATAACCTAATCACTCGTGACAGAATCCATAGGCTGACTTTCAGGAGGGTAACCCGTAGCTACGGCTACGTTGGGATGTCTGGCCAGCGACAATGGCGTTGCACGATTCTAGCCACGCGAGGAAACCCGAGCACCCCGAGGAAAAGCCCGCGTAGAACATGGGGCGCGCGAGAGAGAGAGAGAACAAACAGAGACTCCACGCAGAACGTCGCACGAGTGGCGAGTCGAACCCAGGCCATTCCTGCCGCTTGCGGCGCAAGCGTTACCGCCACCCTGCAAGCGCCCGCGGTTCCCCCTGCAAGCGCCCGCTGTTCCCCCCGCTCTGGGCTGCCCGTCACTCGGGCCGGCCCGCGAACCCACGCCCGAGCAGGACTCACTTTGTCCGCGGCCGTGAGCCGGGTCCAGGGCTTGTCCGCCCGCCGGTCGTAGTCCTGTGCGTCCGACACCTCCACGTAGTCGTTGAAGCGGATCAGAATCCTCTTCTCCCGCAGCTCCTCCACCGTCGGCCTTTGACTCAGCTGACCGGTGCCGGGGGGGGGGGTGGTGGCGGGGGGGGGCACGGGGTTGCTTGGGTTAGTCGCGTCGCTGTGTTGCGCGCGTGCACAACCATTACAGAGGTGCAACACACAAGGCGAACATCTGCACGGGTGAACGTGTAAGGTCGTCCCAGCACAGTGCCGTGGTTGGTAATAGTTTTTTTTGGGGGTTAGGCCAGGTAACGATCTGATCAAGTGTACGCACGTTGAACTTCCTTCGCATCGTACGTAGCCAACCGTGCTCATCGGAGGAGCCAAGGAAGGACAGCAGGCTAAATGCAAAAAAAAGCAGTTATAAAGAAATCCAGCTTTCGAGCGAGATGATTTAAAAGTGCATAGCTCCAGTGGCTTCCTAATATCGGAAGGAAGAACGTTCCAGATGGCTGCAGAAGCGCATCTGAAAGCGCGCTATGCGGTGACCGTCATTGTTCAATGGTTCACCAAAAGCCGCTGCTGCGAGGATGACCACCGGAATTCACGTGGTGATGGTTTCATGCTCCTTGACAAGATCAGCAAGGTATTGTGGTTCATTCATGGCAAGTCCTTTACGTGCAATGAGCGTGATCTTAGAATGTACAAATATGCGTTGTTGAGCCCTCCTCCGCCCGACACAGCCAGAGTGAATTGTCACCGATTGCAAGTTCTGTGTGTGAGAATTGTGATTGACTATGCCAAGTTAACAATGTTCATCAGGAATAAAATGTTTTTTTAAAATTCTTATCAAGCTCCATGGTGTAAAGTGCAGTCTCCAACTCTGATTCACTCCGTCTCTCTGGCCTCTCTGTGTGCCCTGAAGAAGGGCCATTGCCCGAAACGTCGCCGAATTAATATTTTTCCTCTTAAGGCGCACAGTGTTATTCACGAATGATTGTTTTTCTTGTTGCTATTGTTGTTATTTGTGCAACACGGGCTTGCAAAATGGTTTAATTTAACCGACAATGTAACAATGGTGACAGGTGATCGTTACCCCGTTGCCATTGTTACCATTAATGTAACAATGGAGACAGGTGATCGTTACCCCGTTGCCATTGTTACCATTAATGTAACAATGGTGACAGGTGATCGTTATCCCGTTGCCATTGTTACCGACAATGTAACAATGGTGACAGGTGATCGTTACCCCGTTGCCATTGTTACCATTAATGTAACAATGGAGACAGGTGATCGTTACCCCGTTGCCATTGTTACCGACAATGTCCGGGCTCAGTACTCCACAGAGGTAAGGCGTAACGACCGGGAGCGGTGTGTCTATGTGGTAGGGGGAAACAACGGAAGATGGGCGAGGGACGTGGTGGGGGGGGGGGGGGGGGGGGTAAATATCCGAGACTCGTAAGGAAATATATTCCCACCTTTCTCGAGAGCCTCTGCTTGATCTCCCTCTTCTCATCTCGCTCCTCGTCAGTGTTTCGCTCTGCAATCAAAGCGGCAGCAACACGGGATCCATGAACGTCCAAGCAGGCGCACGCACGCACGCACGCACTTGCATCTGCAACACTCTTGGTTTAGCCCTCACTTTAAACTATTAAAACTAAAAGTTAGAACTATTGTCATTTTACCAGGAGCTACAGGTGGCTTATCCTGTGGAAATGTACAGGAGCCAAACACTCCAAACGCGTGGTGACGTTGATTCTAAATGTGGAAGGGTAAAACCGGAGGACCCGGAGAAAAATCCTCGCGATCACGGGGCGAGAGACACACGCAAACTCCAAATATACAGCCAGGTGTCAGGGTCGGCATCAAACCCACGACCTCTTGTATACCAGGTGAGCTAGTTAACATCTCGCCCCTGTGAAAACTTTGCCTTCCAAGCACTCGGAACAACCGCACTGCACACTGAACTTACACTGTGGCCATGTGCTCGCCAACCAAGCTGACCAGCATGGGGAAGTATGGTCAAACAACCCCTACAACCCGCATGGTTTAGGCACGATGTCATCCAGCAGTGGAGGGCTGTGAGTGTACTCAGTTTAACACGTAGGCTTTCGCGACCAATATTATTCATAATAAAGGTTTTTGGGTTAGATCGCGTTATTTATAAATGTGTCGTAACCCTCCACCACCCGACACGGCCAATCAGCAAAAAAGTGTCACGTTGACAAAAGACAAATAGTACTGTCCACATGGATGAATTGTTATTTTTATTAATTGTTATGAATCACGATTGTTATTGATTGATGCTAATTATTGATTCATTTGTAAAATGTTCATTCTTCACATTTATGCTTCATGACAAATGCACACGCACACCCATCTAGCATGGTATTATATATATGTCTATGATGGCCGTTTACCCAGGAAATCCTCGCGGAGACTCAACACTCTTCCCAGGAGGGTCCTGCCACGTATATTGCAGGAGGCAGCAATACTGCTGCTGTGTGCAATCGCAAATTACCAATAAAAGTTGGCATTTATTTAAGGCCCCTTTCTTAAAACCGAGGCCCCCTGTCGGGAAAACTGTCCTCCATTTAACATTTTTAAACCATCCGGTAATTGTAGATTGATGTTTCGGCATTGGGATGTTTGGCTAGTACCAGTGACATTGTTGTGTTTGTGTTTATCTCTGGATGCAGAGCACGGGGGAAGAGAGAAACACCCAGACTGCACGCCGAAAGGCACTCGAGTTGGGAATCGAACCCTGGTGCTTCTTGCTGCGAGGTGCGGCGGAGAGTGTCACCAATGAGCCGCTGCCGCCACCCCCATGTTTGTGTGCGCGGCGCGTGAGGCTGTGGTCTCGTGGTGCGTGTGTGTGTGAGTGTGTGTGAGGCGTGTGTGTGTGTGAGGCACGTGCGAGACACGTGTGTGTGTGTGAGGCGTGTGTGTGTGTGAGGCGTGTGTGTGAGGCGTGTGTGTGTGTGTGAGGCGTGTGTGTGTGTGAGGCGTGTGTGTTTGAGGCACGTGCGAGGCACGTGTGTGTGTGTGAGGCACGTGTGTGTGTGAGGCGCGTGTGTGTGTGTATGTATGTGTGTATGTGTGTGTGAATGTATGTGTGAATGTGTGTGTATGTGTGTGTGTGTATGTGTGTGTGAATGTATGTGTGAATGTGTGTATGTGTGTGTGTATGAGTGCATGTGTGTATGTGTGTGTGAATGTATGTGTGTGTATGTATGTGTGTGTATGTGTGTGTGTGTGAATGTGTGTGTGAATGTATGTGTGAATGTGTGTGTGTGTGAATGTGTGTGTGAATGTATGTGTGAATGTGTGTGTATGTGTGTGTATGTGTGTATATGTATGTGTGTGTATGTGTGTATGTGTGTGTGTATGTGTGTATGTGTGTGTGTATGTGTGTATGTGTGTGTGAATGTGTGTGTATTTGTGTGTGAATGTGTGTATGTGTGTGTATGTGTGTGTATGTGTGTGTGTGTGAATGTGTGTGTGTATGTGTGTGTGTGAATGTGTGTGTATGTGTGAATGTGTGTATGTGTGTGTATGTATATGTGTGTATGTGTGTGTATGTGTGTGTGTATGTGTGAATGTGTGTGAATGTGTGTGTGTATGTGTGTGTGTATGTGTGTGTGTATGTGTGTGTGTGTATGTGTGTGTGAATGTGTGTGTATTTGTGTGTATGTGTGTATGTTTGTGTGAGTGTATGTGTGTGTGTATGTGTGTGTGTATGTGTGTGAATGTGTGTGAATGTGTGTATGTGTGTGTATGTGTGTGTGTGTGAATGTGTGTATATGTGTATGTATGTGTGTGTGTATGTGTGTGTGTGTGTATGTGTGTGTGTATGTGTGTGTGAATGTGTGTATATGTGTGTGTATGTGTGTGTGTGCCACACTCACGCTTCAGAATATTGCGCTGCTCGAGTTCCTCCGCGGACGGCCGCTGGGTGAGCCTCCTGCGGAACAGAACGTAGATGACGCTGTGCACCATTATCGCTCGCTCGCTCGCTCTCCACGTGCTCCGCTCTCTGCTCCTCCTCGACTACCGCCACTGACAGTGCAGCTTCTCCGCTTTCCCTCTCTTTCTTGGCTCCTCGATTCAATTCACGGGGAGACGTGATGAGGGAGGTGGTGGTGGTGGTGGCTCGCTTCCAAGACCGACTCAAATCGAGACTTCACTTAGCTCGCCTCGCGAGCGACAAGGATCAGTGAAACGCCGCTCCTCGGACAGGCTCCCACGACAAAAACAGCAGCAACAACAAAAAAAAACGGGCCCAGGAATCCTTTCACCAAAGCACAAAATGCACGCAAATGCAGCCGAGGTATTTGTCTTCAGAGAGAAAGGGGCCCTGCCATGAGCTGACGAGGACTTCCCCGAGCGCTATCGCGATCGAGAGTGCCCTGCGTGGCGGTGGCAATTTATAGACATCGCGCGTCCTCCCACGCACATGGGCGGCGGGGGGGGGGGACGCGGGAGATTTCGTGGGCAGGGAAAAGCCGATGCTATTTTTGGCTCGGCGGTACGACACGTTCGGAGGTGGCGTGCTGCATACGCAATGAGATGCTCCCTCGCACCGCACGGAAATCCCTGCAACCTCCGTTCGCGCGCGGAACAGCGGAGCGGCGAGCCCTTTGCAAAAAAAAAAATCCGAAATGCCCCCACTGGGCACAAAGGCCGGCAACGCGGGAAAGTAACGATTGCTATTTTTAGCGATTTTTTGATATTTTAACCTATTTTTTTTTTACCATGTAAGGCCCGCTGATCTATGCATCAATGTTCTTTTGCAGAAGCGACCTGGCCATGACAAATGACAACTCGACGAAGCGGCTTATCGCGTGGACATTTATAGCAGCAGCCAAACACTCCGAAACGCGTGATGCTGATCCTAAAATGTGGAGGGAGAAACAAGCGGGGAACGTGCAACCTTCAAATATGCAGCAGCAGCACCAGCAGGCGTCAGAGTCGGGATCGAACCCACGACCTCCTGTATACCAGGCGAGGTAGTTAACATCTCGTCACTACGGTACACGCTCACGCTCGGAACACCATCCGGAGAACACGGCGAATTTTATCAGCAAATGCGCGATTTTGCAAATTATTTGCTGATGCTACGTAAATAGTGTGATGCAAAATCCTAGGGAGATATTCCCCTATGGCCTAGACAGACCGTTGATGTTCGCGAGCACCTATTAAGGCTATCACAGTGCACAATGGGATGGTGCAGCTAGTAGCACGATGCTCAGCCGCCTTTGTCTCTCCAGTAGTGATATTCACACAGCGCACCCGGGTACTCAATTCAGGACCGGTTCAAATATTCTCTACTGATTATAGCCACAGCCGGGAATCGAATTCAGGTCAGACTGTTGGGGCAAGTGCTGTTAGCGAGCACCTATGAAGGCCGGCACGGCACACGAGGGGGTGAGTGGCCAGCACCGTGTCAGGCCACCTTTGTCTCCCCAGTGGCGATGTTTACACACCACACCAGGTACTTGTTTGAGGCTGAGTCGACCTAGGGGAGGCCCAAGACCGGTTCAAATAATCGCACTACGAACTCGGGTCACCGGGTTCGTAGTGCAGTGCACTAACCACCGCACCACCGCTCCACCCGAACATAATACACGCACACGCAAACGCTCAGGCATGCAATTTCCTGTCTTAATAAATCACAGTTTGAATTGTGCTCACCCTCAATGTGCGTTGACTGTTTACGTTGATAAATGCTGCAAGCTATTTTAAAGTGGTTCCCATCGTGCAGTAGATAACAGGGGATTGTCATCGTCGGCAACGTCACACACACGATGACAATTGTGGAACTTGGGCAAGACTGGTTTCTCATTCTGCACAATTGCCAGGAGATAATATTGACCTCTGATATCCGCTGAAGGTTATAAGCGCCCCTAGAAGCAGCAATTTATGACGATGACATTAGAAACCGGGGTAAGCACCGATGATTGATCAGCGGGATCGGCGTCGGGCGATTCCCACTCTCCGGAGCTCACAAATCGCAATTCAATTCCTGAAAACAAACTTGCGATTTCCCAACGGGCGTTGGGGGATCGTAGTGAAACGTTTGCGTAACGGGCGCAACAGCTCACGCGTCCAACGCGCCGCTGAACTGCAACGATTCACAGTCGCGATTGAATTTATACTCTGCGCTCTTCAGAGGAGGTACCTACGACCCTCCCAGCCTCGGCTCTTCCGCTCGACGCTGGGGAGGTTGGGTCCTCCCAAAGCGTTGCCCCAAGGATCTGGAATGCCTTGCCGGCGGCGATCCGGCACGCTGCGGGCCTCGGTGTTTTGAGGAGGGGGTGCAAGACTCGCGATTTTCTCACGGCTTTCACTTTTTATTGTCTGTGCATTTTATTTTAGCGTGCAATGTTTCCATACCCCCTTGAGTGGAGGTGGTATTACATTTTAAATAAATATGGTTTACGGCTTGCAATTCAGGAGTCGGTTATTTTTATTTTCCCCTCTAATTTCCCACCCCTTTTGCATCGTTTTCTCCCGCGTTCCTTTTGTGCACAGGTTTTGTTCGCTCTATTAGCCCAAACTGCGACGTTAGCAAGTCAAACTATTTGCACACATTGTAAATGATGTTAAATTTTACATGCACGATTCAATGTACGCATGCGAGAGATTCAGAATAGGGCGTCACAGTAGCGAGATGCTAGCTACGTCGCCCAGTATGCAGGAGGTCTTAGGTTCGATTCTGACGCCTGCTGTACATTTGGAGCTTACGTGTCTCTCTCTCTCCGCGTGATCGTGTGGATTTTTCTCCTGGTATTCTGGATTTTCCCTCCACATTTAGAAACATGCATTTTAGGAGTATTTGGCTGTACTATATTTCCACGTGATAAGCCACTTTGTTTAGCTATTATTTTTGACCGGGTCGCTTCTGATATAGAATTCAAAACGCTCAGTGGGACTTACCTGCTAAAAGAAAAAGTTTAGTTTCTTAATTGTAATCTGAGAATCCATGCTTAACTAAAGATCACCGTTAGAATCCCATTGATGTGAATGGGACCCAGGAATTGCCCTCGCGGCATTTTGGTGAGTGAGGAATCGCTGATGGAATCTCCATCCCATTCCAATTCTGATTCCCGTGTTCCTAGTGGAATTAATCGGATTCTATCGGTCAGTCCTTGGGCTGGCAAATTACCCCGTTCACTTTAACGTTGACGCAGTGATATCCATTGCAATTAACGGCATCCCCTTAACAGCCCATTCCCTTTGATTACTCGTTCATTTCAATGGCGGTTCAACTGCCGATTTTATTATGATCGCCACTATATTACGACATTGATACACACGAGCCCTGTCAGAATCCTGCCGAGTCCTCCGTTGTTCTTCCTCTATATTTAGAATCAACGCGCATTTAAAATATTTGGCCGCTATACATTTCCACACGATAAAGCCACTTTCGTTGAGCTATAATTTCTGGCCAGCTCGCTTCTGAAAAAGATCTACATGGCTCAGTGGGCCTTGCCTGGTCAAATAAAAAAAAAGAGTACATTTCTCAGTGCCTTCAAGGAATGTTAAAATCACGTGTGATGTTCGGTGGAAATCCACTCTGTTCGCCAGCGTACTTACAGATCTGTCTCAGATTCTAGGATCGTGACAGAATCGCGATCCCAGAAGGGATGGGATCGCGATTTGAGTCGGCGGTGAGGAACGTCGTTCAGGTCTTGGTTGATGATAGCTGTTGGTGGTTGTCGTTGGCACTAAAACGTGTAAACTCGCGTTCAGTTTGCATGTCTCTGCAGATATTTGGTGGTAGAATGTTCACCAGAACAGGGAGTCAGTGCGATTGGTGCCAGCTTCAGGGTTCTGGTTATGATGCGCATCGCGTTGTTAAATGGAGTACGATTCCTGCAGGAACCTGCCGGCACTCATGTCGGTGTTGAAGGGGGCCGTTGGTGTACTGCACGGTGAGTTCACTGCACAACAATATTGGCAGCTCGGGTTGGATTCCTGATCATAATCCAGATGACTGCCAGGATTTACGTTGAACTTCTTTCGCACCGTACGCAGCCATCCGTGCTAATCGTAGGTGTGGGGGAAGGTCAACAAACTAAACACAAAAAGCAGTTCTAAAGGAATGAGTTTTCAAACTAGATTATTTAAAAGTGAATTTCTCCAGTGGCTTTCTAATATTGGAATGAAGAGCGATCCATCTTCTTTGGTTCTTTCGGTAAAGTCACGTAGAATGAGAATAACATAATAAATTGATAAATTAAAATAACACAATAATATTCTCACGACGTTTCGGCCACAACACAAGCGGCCTTCATCAGGTGAAGGGGGCGAGACTGTCTGGTAGGACAGCGCTGGAGTGTGTTGTGGCCGAAACGTCGTGAGAATATTATTGTGTTATTTTATTTTATCAATCTATTATTTTATTCTCATTCTACGTGGTGACTTTACCGAAAGAACCAAAGAAGATGAATAATTGCAGTCACGAAAGCTTCAAATCGAAGAGCGATCCGCCAAGCCTCGCTGCCTCCACAGTGCTGGATCAAAGGCGTGCGTAGCCACCGCCACCGCCCAGATGAGTTTGTGTACAACTCTGGAATCCCTTACGTGACTCCAGAGGGCATTCCTGCACGAGCCACTGGCCGATTCAAGTTGCTGTTTGAGCAGGGCCCAAGTGTGCAATTTGGCAAATTCCAGCAACAGCCCACTGGGCATAGACCCGCCCTGGCACCCAATAAGAAAATAATTTCGCCTTGGGTCGACGGTGTTGATCCCAACCCAAGGTCTCAGCAGGTGCTGGCTGCACGATGCAGTGACCGTCTCTGTTCGATGGCCAGCCAAAAGCCACCGCGGGGACGACTGGAGGTTGCGCGGCGATGGTTGACTAAGGAGCGGTGAGTCCGCTTCACAACAAATATTGGCAACCCGGCCTAAGTTCCCGGCCTTAATCGTCATGACCGTCAGGGTCGATTCAGCCTGAAA